CCTGTTCCAGTGCCTCCCCACCCTCTCTGTGAAGAATTTCTTCCTGACATCTAATCTAAACCTCCCTGATTTCAATTTATACCCATTACCCCTTGTCCTATCACTACCAGCTCTTGTAATAAGTCCTCTCCCAGTACCCTTGTAGGCCCCCTTCAGATACTGGAAAGCTGCAATGAGGTCTCCTCGGAGCCTCCTCTTCTCCAGGCTGAACAAGACCAGTTCTTGCAGCCTTTCGTCATAGGAGAGGTGCTCCAGCCCTCTGAGCATCTTCGTGACCCTCCTCTGGACTCGCTTCAAGTGGTCAATATCCTTCTGATATTGAGGGCTCCAGAGCTGGACGCAGCACTCCAGGTGGGGTCTCATAAATAGGTGTCTTCAGGAACTCCACCCAAAATCTAATTGAAAGGCAGCTTAGCAGTGAACCAAGAACATGCTGTCAATTGATAGTGTTACAGAGAGAACATATAACTAGTCCTTTCTCCAGCTGATCTGAAACCAAGAAAACCAAAATCCATCACTGATCAAGCAGAACTCTTAAATGCATGTTTTATTTTAGGCACATGAGTATAATTGGAATCACTAAAGCTCTTAATATTTTTAAGGATTGTACTGAATTTACACAACCAAAAATCTCACAGAAATCAGTGTTAACTGCTTTGAACAGACTGCAGAACTGTTCCTTTAATGTTTAATTTTACAGAAAGTATTGTATATTTCACATTATCTTTTCAGCTCACTTTGAAACTGGATCCGGTGATCCAGGTGGATATTTTTTGTATTTGTATTGCAAGCTACTCACCTCAGACATTTATCCCTCTGTATTGTTCTGCATGGACAGGAATGCATTTAAACGTTTGACAAATCATTTTAAAGTAAAAAAAAAAAATACTGGAACAGTTTCAAAAAGAGAATGTAGTTTTGTTATGAATTCTCCTTTTAAATGAATTTTTGTTATGAATTCTCCTTCTCTGGTACTTTTAAAGCATTTTTCAGAATGCGTTACAAGTCTAAATATAAATTTGATAATACATTATACCTTACAATTATGTTTGCCTCCAAAGTGTAATTAAGAACTGTATAATGGTGTAATCAGCAAGGAAATTAAAATTAAATCCATTTGTTAGAATATAGAATCCGAAAGTTTCCATGCTTGAGGGGTGGGGTGTTCTTGAAAAAGTTTTGTGTTGATCTTCAACTGGAAAACAGAGGGAGGAAAAAGAGAATGACATTTAAACATTTGAAAGAAGGTGAAAGTAATAAGTTATATTTGGTTGATTTATCTCAGATTTTAAGAGCATATCAGTGCATTACTTCGTGAAATTCTAGACTGCCGTTTAAAAACTAGAATCCCATTATCTGTTTTTTTGTTATTGAAGAAGGCTTATAATATGAATTGTGGCACATCTAAATATTGTGTTTCCCCATTTGATTTTGCAGTGATGAACAGCAGAAGGACTATTTAATGGAGAGAAGAGATTTGGCTATTGATTTTATTTTTTCTTTAGTATTAATAGAAGTTCTGAAACAGGTATGGAGATTTAAAATTATTAATTAACTAATAAATGATGGAAATCCAATACAACTGAATTTCCATCCTTCTTTCTATTTCCATCTTTAAGAGTCTAATAAAAACATGACATACATCCTGCATGCGTGTTCATTGCTGTCTTTCTTGTAGCTTTAGGAAACACAGTATTCTGTGCTCATACAGACCACTTTGCCAAGTTTTTGGAGTTGAAGTATTTTCTTCAGTGCTTAATAAACTTCAAGTGACTGGGTCATGTCAGCTGTTTTGTTAGCTTGTTGCTGTTTCAACTGATACCTTATTTCTGTACGGGAGATACCCATGAGTAATACTAGCACTAAGGTATGCAGCTTGAAGTGTAATATGTGTACTCGTTATGTTTTATTTTGTGTTTTCAGATTCCACTTCATCCTGTAATAGACAGTTTGGTACATGATGTTATTAACTTGGCTTTCAAGCACTTTAAGTACAAAGAAGGGTAAGGCTCTTTTTCATACAAAAAATCTATGAAAAAGGATGAAAAAATTTACTTTCTAAATGTTTTAATAGTAGTGGCTTAAGCAGTATGCATTCTCAGCCAAGAATTCTCTCTTGTCTCTTGCTAGGTACCTTGGTCCTAACACTGGAAATATGCACATCGTTGCAGATTTATACGCAGAAGTAATAGGTGTTCTAGCTCAAGCAAAGTAAGCAAATTGAATGTCATATTTCCCCCATATGTCTGAAAAGTTTTATTTGCTTAGCATGTGAATATTCTGATTTTCTCACTTTCTTAAAAGGTAGTGTAGGAATAAATCATTTCAGCTCATCAGCCCTCTATTCATCCAGGTGCTCTAGACCATGGAACTCTAGGGAATCACAAGCTTTTTGCGTCTAGTCCAGTGATACTGAATAAATTCAAGTTGACTACAACAGCATTATTTTTCTTATCTCAGCAATGACGTCTGTGGAAAGCCCAAAGGGCTGAAGAGAGCTATTTTAATATTTTTTTCCATATGTTATTTTTTCTCTCACAGGGCAAACCTAAAAATGTCTCTCCTCCAACACATCAACATTTTTAAGTCTGTATCTTCAGTTATTTCAGTTTAGAACTTAATGCATTTGCTTCTGCATCCTTCATCCTGCACTTCTTAGAGCAGATGATATAAAATACTTTGTGCATCAGGTCTTAAATTCTAAATCTCAAAGCAGACCAATTCAGAAACTCATGTACCCAGTATAACATCTCATCATACGCTTACACCACAAACTAAATAGGGGTTGAAATTTACTGCCCCAACACAGTGATCTCTGTCTCCCGACTTCTTGGTGTTGCTCAGAGCTAGTCTGCTCTACAAAACTGATCAACTTAGCTTGATGTAGCCAGAAGAGTTTATGTTCCTAGAAATCATATAACTTTCAGAGACTTCAGCTGAGGCCTTACTTGGGCTTCTAAATTGGCTGGGTCAAAAGCAAAAGGGGAAGTGACATCTGGATATGGAGCTCCAACCTGACTGTCAAAGGTAAAACATTCTCCATAAATGCTGCTTTTCTTCTTGGATTCTGAAGGGCCTTGCTAAGATGTTACCACCACTAAAGGGCTTCTTCATGCCAACCTGTTTCTTTCAACTCTCCTGTGTTCACTACCAGAGGCGATTACAAAAGGTTGTTACATGCTACACCTGCCCATGAAAATGACATTATTTTCATGTCATCTCAAAAAGGACAGCAAGTCCTCTTGGATGATCTTCCTATTTGTTATTTTTATGGACAGCCTGTCTCAAAAGACACCTCCGGTAGATTTGTGGAGGAGATCAAAAATGGTCACAGACCCTCCCATCCTGTGTTGTTCTCGTTAATGCTTAGAAAAACATGTGAAGGAGTTATTCTAATGATATTGTTAGCTCTTATGTAAAAGAGGAGTGTGGCAAGAAGATAATTATAAGGGTGTGATTATCCAAAGGGGCTAAGATCACGCTATGGGCTTTGTTTTCTGAGTTTGTCAGAAGTGAAAAAAAAGTAAACAAAAAGCAGTGTGTTCACATACTGAGTGAAATGGTATTTTTCAATCCAAGCTTTATCTTCTTTAGGTTTTTCCCCATTTATGTACCTTACAATACATTTCAAATATTAATGTGGACTGTTTTGTAACTAACCGATGTGAATTCATAGATTTCCTGCTGTAAAGAAGAAATTCATGGCAGAGTTAAAAGAGTTACGGCATAAAGAACAAAGCCCATATGTAGTTCAAAGCATTATCAGTCTTATAATGGGAATGAAATTTTTTCGCATTAAGATGTATCCTGTGGAGGACTTTGAAGCTTCTCTTCAGTTTATGCAGGTAAAATTCTTAAGTACGTAACTGTGGTTCCCAGACCTTTTAGAATGGGCTCCCCTTCATCTTTACTGTAATACTCCAGATTTTCCACATCATTCCCACATGAATGTATGTGCAGCTACTTTCTGCTTGTTCTGAACCTCAACATTCCATTCTCCAGTCTCTGGAGCGTATCCTTCCATATCGACTTTTCTTCAGCCATACCCTAGTCTGTACAGACCCCTAGTCTGTGCATCTCACCCTCCCACAAAAAGAGGGTTTGTTCTGTAGACCCCAGACCTTCCACCCTGCCATCCCACAGCCGTTCCTTGTCCTGTGTCCCTGCCTAGCTATGTCTCCCTAGTTGCTCACTGCCTCCAAAGTGACTATTCCACCCTTGACATAGTTGCCAGAGAGGAGAGAAACAACCAATGCACAAAACCACAGGAGAAACAAAGAATTGAGGCAAAAGCCAAATGGAATTTCCCATGGATGTGTTGCATCCTCCCACCATGCCTGCACCCCCGGCTTCCTGTAGAGTACATTTTCTGTATCCATCTGGTTTGAGAGCTACTAATACAGAGCATAGGTTGACTATCATTAATGCTTCAAATTAACAGATTACATCATTTTGTAAAAGGAAATAAAATCTTTGTGTTTAAACATTTTTAAAAGTTCACATATCTTGTTGGTAATATGCAATGGGTTCTGTTCCCATCACCAGATTTATTTAGCTTAACCTTTTTATTCTCCTGTTTTTTCTTGGGACCACCCTCATGGCTACATGGTGTGTATTCACTCAGGCAGTAAAGTACATGTTTTGTATAAACCTCCATGTAAAGAACAGTTTATTGATGGTGTCAGTGGAGTAAAATTCGGTGTTAGATGCCTGCAAGTAAGGGTTTGACACTGAAATACAAATACACATACGTACAGACACACAGAGCCATTTGTCTAAGTCCTGAACAGGAAGCACATTCTATTTCAATTTTGCAATGTGTTTTACAGCATATTTAACATCACAGAAACAGCTAATTTTTCTTCTTACCTTACGCTTCATTTTATGAACACATCTTAGTATATGTTGACTTAATGTAAGTTAACCTGAGCTGGCTAGGTATCAAAGTTGTGTGTGTTCGGTGCACGTGAATGAGCGAATGACTGTGGCATGGCTTTATGGCACAGCACTGCTGGGATCCAGGGTTCACTGGTATTGAAATCCCTGGTAAAGCTCCCATATCATAGACTCAAAATTTGAATGCACGTGATCTCTGCCTTGCTCCTGACTACAGAATCTCAGAACTAAGTTAATTCTTATATATACTGAAGTGTAAACTGCTCTGCATGCATGTGCAGGAATAAGGGCACTGGGGACTTTCCTTGTAAAGTCAGTGGCTGTTTGGGCCTTGGACCCAGAGAAGAAGAAGTAACTGGAGCAACATGATGTGTCGTCCTCGGAGAGGTTGTACAGAAAGATGTGAGTGGGTGGATGCTTATCTCCCCTCCCTCACTTCCTGAGCCGCACAGCTGTGTGGATAGCAGTTCGCTGCATGTCTAGGCCAAACGTACATGTTTACTTTCTCAATCCCCAATTGCAGGCTGGAAGTTGTGGTGGTTTGCAACACGAGTCACTTCCCTCACATAGCACAGTTCTAGACTGACCCTTAAGGTCCCTTCCAACCCAGACCATTCTGTGATTCTACGACCCTTTATCTGCAGTGGATCCTAGCAGTGGAATTTATCCCAAAGTATTTACAGTAAGATTGTTGCTTGCCTTGAATATCGCACCAGAGAAGGACGTTCCTTTTCTGACCTCTCAGGCATTGTGTAAAGCAGTCTGTGCGGGCTATTACTCCTGCTCCTGAGGGTATACGCAGGGAAGGCATGAGGTCAGGCCCTCAGTCCAACTCCCTTTCCATCCCCAAAACGCCACTGGGCACAGCTGGAATCAGTGGCGAGTGTGTGGATTATCATGGTTAGAGTAACTGATCCTTGTTCTTGACCTATGTCCTGCCTTGTGTCTGCTGCAAAAGGCAGATTTAGAAGTTAATAGACAAATGTTTTCTGTAGGATTTGCAAGATAAAAATAGTCAGTGACACTTTATGTGCATTCAGCAAACATTTAGAGGCCTCTATTCCAGCTGCTACACAGTTTATGTTTCTTGTTTTGTTTTGTTTTAGGAATGTGCACATTATTTCCTTGAAGTTAAAGACAAAGATATCAAGCATGCACTGGCAGGACTGTTTGTTGAAATTCTTGTCCCCGTAGCTGCTGTGAGTTTATTTTTCAGGTTGTTTGCATAATTTCTTTAAATTAGATAAAACAGCTTGTGAAATAGTGGTTTATTAACTGGAAATTTTCTTTCAGGCTGTTAAAAATGAAGTGAATGTCCCCTGTCTGAGGAACTTTGTTGAAAGCCTGTATGATACAACACTTGAACTTTCCTCACGAAAGAAGCACTCGTTGGTTAGTAACCCTAAGAAGCAGAGGCTAAAATTCTTTGTCAGAAATATCTCTGGGCAAGGCTCTGGGGAAATTGCAAAATCTTATTCTGCGTTCGGCTTTATAACAAATACGTGTCTGTTTGCCGGCAAGGCTGATATGTTTGAAGAAAATAACCGTATTTATTTTATTCAGAATATGATCTAGATCAGTCTGAATCGAACAGATGTTTTCAGCTTCTGGTTCTGTGTTTATTAAATGGTTAGGTTTTCACATGCTTGTTATGTGTAAACATTAGGAGGAGAGGAGAAAGAATAGAGTTCACTTCTTGTCAAGCGAGAACAATTGAGGCATGTGGGAACAACTCTTTCACGGGGCTTAAATAATACATTGTAGGAACGAAAAGATGTATAACACATGCCCTTTTAAATCCGTAACTTGGCTACTGTGCAGCTCCCAGTTTCATGTTTTTCTTGTGAGATGAACAGTGGCACTGCAGTGTATTTTTGGAAGCATGAGTTGATCTGAATTAAATGAGGATCTGAGTCAGTTTGATGCTGGCCGCCTTAAGCAGTCTGTCTCTCCAACTGGGTCAGCACATGTCAGCAATGCGGCGTTAGCTAATCCGTTTTGAAGTCCTGGACCTTTTAAGTAAAGAAAGTTGTCATTTGTCCTCCCTCATTCTATGTGAAAGTCAAAAAGATTTCCCTCTTCCCAGCACTTCTAGCAAATGCTGGTCATTAGGGCTAGTGAATCTGCTGGGAAGGCTGCAGGAGTGTGCTTGAGCTCTCTGCCCCTGTTACACCCGTTCCAGGGGAGAGTCAGAGCATTCCCTGGGGTGCAGTCCTGATCCAGTTTGAATTCGTGGGAGTCTTGGGATGGATCTCTGATTTCACTCTGCTTGTGTTTGTGTGGCTCTATTCAACTCCACCGAGTTAATAAAACATTGTTGAAGCTGCAGCAGGGGAAGGGCTTTGCTGTACAGTTTTTACACTAAACAAAACTTCCCCAAACTGGTGGCTGTACTTGCCAAGGTCAATACTACCTGCTGGAGAAAGGATTGCACAGCTGGGGCGTTGCGTTTCATGGCTTGGCTACACATACCACACTGGGCAGTGCATAGTTAAAAGTGACAGAATAGATTCTTGTGAGGGTGTGATTAGAAATACAAACATTGGGAGGAGGAGGAGGGGAAAGGCAAACAGTTGGCAGAAATAGCTGCAGTGCATATTTGCAGGCTTTCAGGAAGAAAGCACACTCTTTAGAGTCTGATGAGGACCTTGCTTTCCAAGATTAGTGTTTTGTGAATTGATGCATCCACTATACAGGCAGGATGGGGGCATTCGTCTCACCTCATTTTCAGTCTAAAAGTGTATCATGTGAGCTAGTCGAGGTTCTCTTGATAGTGAACGGAGAGAATTAGGAAACTCCAGGAGATGGTTTGTATGTTCCCTTCTAGGACTCTTCCTTAGGATGAGTTGTAGCACTCCTGGAATGTTCTAAACTCTGTGATCCTGTGAAGTACTGAACTGTTATATTCATAATGTTAGTATGGTAAGAAATTCTTCCATGAGAAGACTTCAGTTATCATCTCCCATATGTATTTTGGACATGAAGATTACAAAAATAAAAATTGATACACCTTTGCCAGTTGCTCAAGAAACTATGTCCAACCTAGCTATAGACAATTTTTGTTCCTTATTATAGGAACAGAATTTGAGGGTTATGGTGTATTTATACTTTGAGGTGTGACTGAATTCAGAATTTTAGGGTTAATTTTGAGAATCATTGGTCTTTAAGATAAATACCTTATTTTTGCCTAATAACTTTCAAGTCCTAATGGAGTATGTTAACATGACAACTGAAACAGAAAAGCCTTGCTGAAATACCAATTTCAAAATTAATAGGTGCATTTTAGCTTATTTTTTTCAGTGTAACGTTTACAAGATGAGTGTCGAACTAGATGCTGACAGAGAGACCAGGTTCTAGTATTTGAACTTCCATGTTCTGCCTTGCTTCTTTTTCTTTTTCACTTCACGAGATATAACTACCAGCAGATCCAGGTATTGCCTATGTTTTAACAGAGTTCTGTAGAGTGTTTGGCGTGTCTCTCAGTAAATACTGTGACTGCAGATTTGGAGAAGTAATAGGCATCTGAGCATTCACAAGTCCTGACAATCTCTGTGGGCCTTGTTGTTGCTGTAATAAAGTTTATTTCCATGCTATCTTTCCTCATTTAACGGGCAGAACATAGCCCTGTGAGCCTGTAAATCTGTGGCCTGTCTTTGGATTTATTTTACTGCTATAAGTAGGCATTTGGTTGGTTTTAGTTCATCCGTAAAACATATCTGTAACAGCTTTAGAAAAAGGTTCATTTAAAATTGTACTACTTAAAATGTGTTTATGTTGGCTAACATACGTTGCACAAAATGGAGAAGTTAGAGCTTTGAGTTTACAGTAGCTCTATTAGGTTAATTTTATGTTGTGTAGATATGCAAATAATACAGTATCGACATCCATTTCCTGTTTAGGCTTTGTACCCCTTGGTAACATGCCTGCTTTGTGTCAGTCAGAAGCAGTTCTTTTTAAACAGATGGCATATTTTCCTCAACAACTGCCTATCCAATCTCAAGGTTAGTATCTTCTGGTTTTAATATTGTATTAAAACTTCAGTATGCACTGTTGGTCTGTGGGAAATCCATTTTAGGTGAATGTGCTGGATTATTGCTATTATCTGATTCCATACATAATTTTATTCCCAACAGTACAAATTCTTTAGCTGTGCAGATTTTTTCAGTAACAAAAAAGTATTCTTGCGCCTAGTTTGAATTTCTACTTAACTTAAACCAAGCATGAGTCAAACAGCTGGGGAACAGGCAAGGTTGTTGATGAATGTTGTTAGCTCGAGTGACATACCAAAACTGACCCAGTATTAAGTTGCTTCTTTTCACAAAGGCATTCTCAAACAAAGCACTTGTTACTGCTTTTTCAGAATGGAACTGGTTGCAGGACACTGATTCCGTTGTTTGATTCACTCTGTTAGGTTGCATTTTAAAAAACCCTAAACTATTTTAAGTTGTTTCCTCCACACACCCATTGTTATTCTTCTACTGTTTGTTAGATCTGGGAAGTTTAAGACCTAACAGTCCACTGCAATCTTCTGTGGTTCCTGGCCTGCACAAACTCCTCAGTAAACGTGTGCTAGTTACCATTACTGCTGCCCCATGCTTCTTTACTTGCGCAGTAACTCATGTCCCATTCCACCCCTAAAGTGGATCCATATCAAAGGATGCTCCTGTGCCTTCCTGGGAAGGCCAATGTAAGAAGCCCAGTGAAATGGTTCGGTTGCATGAAGGGCCTCCGAACTGCTGCTTGATGAACCAGTGGTTAGGAGGCTTCTGCAAATGGCACAGGTAGAACGTGCAACCACTTCCTCAGCACAAAGGCAAACTGTGGGAATCTCTGTTCTCCAAAAGTTGAATTCCGAAGGTTGTTGACATGGTATATATTACATCCTTCATTGCTGTTGCTTTCTTGCTGTACTTTGTCTCAATGAAACAATTTGTAATGACTCTATTCCTGTGTACCCTACTGTTAGAATAGCTCTTCAAAACATTCATAGGCTGAGTATTTCTTTCCAGCTGTACCTGAATTATTTACTTTTGCTGAAGAGTTATTAGAATCTTATTTGCAAAGAGATTCAGAAAATAAACATTGTTACTGCAACTAATTTTATTGGGTTTTATGAAGTTAAACAAGCTTTAGAAGAGTTGACTCCAGCTGTAGGGACCCAGCTGGGTTAGGACAAATTAATTGAAACCATCAGAGAAAATATAAGTAAATTGCTTTTACATTACCAGTTGAAAATGGAATTGGAATTCACTTTGCCACCTATAATTCATTGATGTATACTTAGATTCATAGGGCTCATAGGTTAATGTGGTGCCACATTCAATCTTTAGTTTGGGGAGAAGGTAAGGTAGCTGAATACATGGCTAAATTAAGAATGTGGTTGGCCACTCCTTCTCAGTACAGAGGATGAGATGCCACAACTATTGAAGTACACACCTCACAGTTGGAGTGTCACCTCAGAGCCCAGACCAAACTCACACAGCTGGAAGAAGAGCTAGACCAACAAGATGGAGAAATCCTTCCGTTAGGAGGGTTGTGCTGGCCAATGGCAGTATATGGGACTCCATGATCTTGTGTGGGCTCCCATGAACCACATAATGGATCAGGTTTCTCAGGAGTCTCCACACTCCATAGAGCACAGTCTCCTTCACAAAGCCATCAAGTCAAGCATACACTGGGAAAACTAAAATATTTATATTCTAATCATATTTATGATTTTAATATAAACTAGCAAATCTCTGATCTTATGGAAACAAACTTTTCTCTTGAATTAATAAAGGAGACTCCTGCCCGGACATGGAAATATTTCACCCTGGCCAAACTCTGGCCAAAGGGCATTTCATACCATCCTGTTGAAAGCGGTGTAAAAGTTAATAAGTATCCTGAGTTTGAAATGGAACATTTATCGTTAACTAAACTTTATTTACAAAAAAACTGTTCAAGGCAGGAATTCTATATAGGGGAGTCAAAGCACTGAGTTTCATTTAGCGGCAAAATTTTTCAGGGAGAGCAACGATTCCTTGTCTCCAAACCACACGGTACAAGGAGAAAGCTCCAGTACAATTTGAGCTGAGGGTGCAGAACTTACTTTACAAAGAATGGGTCAAACAATGCCTACCTCAGGAATGAATCCATGGGTACCAGCACAATATCCCTTTGGCTTGAATGGGCCAGACCTAACACCATATTACTGGAAAACAGAAATGGAGGAATTAAAGAAAATGGGCCTCACTCCCGGCAGTCCAGCTGCGCCTCCGCCAATCACAGAAGAAGAGGCAGAGGCATTGAAAAAGAAATTTCTAGAAGAGCAACAACAACGGATAAAAGCCAGCAGCACTTATCGGTCAAGAAACAGAGCAGATCCTGGCAGAGCTCTGCTACCAACTTCTCCTGCGTTCAAAAGGCCCACGTCGACGTTGACAAATTCTTCGACACCGACAATGAGTTGGACTCTGCCAACAGTGGTAAAGGAGCCGCATCCAGTGCCAATACCTCCCATTGGCAAAGTGAAGAAGATGTCAGATATATTAGGCCAAATACTCGTTGTCCTAACAGGATTACTGGCTGGGGTTTTCTTGTTGACAAAAATCCTCAAAATACTAAAGAGGCTTAAATGGTGGTGGACTTCTCAGTTTTTCGAAAGGAGACACACTGTGTGCTCTTCGAAAGGAGACACACTGTGTGCTCTCCAAAGTACTGGGCACCCAACCACCATGCATTTGCACAGAGCTTGCCCATGGACATGATTTCCTCAGGTTTTTCTCATCTTCCTCTCAATCCTGCTTTTGGTATGCAGCTTGCTGTTTCTCATGGAAAACTGGTCTACTATTTGCAGAAAGCTCCGATGATACTGTCTCTGCCCTTTTCTTCTCCATCTCTGCTGCTCTCACAGTTGAATATCTTGTCACTGAAAAATTTGGACTTGCTTATAGGGATGAATTCCTCCTCTGCCACACAAGTTCTTGTTACCTTAACGCAGTTAGCCAGTGTCTGCTGTTTTCTCAAAAGCTTTGGGGTAAGAATAAACTTTGCTAAACATACACCATCACTTGTTAAAGAAATTGAGTTGAAGAACTGGCATGATGATGATACCTACTGAAAAATGGATTGAAAGTAATCAGGTTATTAAACAAATTGGTTGTAACAAATAATATTATTTTAAAATCTTGTAAAGATTAATAGACCATATACACTTTGGTATTCCTTTTACTACTTAGTGTAATTATGTGCTACAACCATTGTATGCTGCTATAATAAACAAAAAGGATTTTCAATTTTCTGTTCCCTGTAAGGCTTTATTGAATAAAATGTATTCTCAAGGAGTTAAATGGAAATTGCAACCCAAGGACAGTATTCCTATTCCTAAGCTTCTAACAGATGCCACGTTGGAAGTTGGAGCCATATCCCATCTCATCGGCAGGTTGTCTTCCTTTCATTTTGCAGGACATAGACCAATACACATGCAAGAATTATTGGTGGCATTGGTTGCAGTTTCTTTGATCAAACCACGATCTTTCATCTGTGATTCAACATTTGTCTGCAGGCAAAAAACCAGCTCTTTGCTGTGGAGATTTGCTCTGTGGGCCAGACAAATCTTATCTTGGGTCAGAGTGTACTGGACTCCTTCAAAGTTTAACCCAGCGGATGGCCTAACGCATGGTAGATCATCTGATTGGACTGCATATACTTGCACCCCTCAGAAAGCCCTTAAAACCGCCACAGAAACAGAAAACTGAATATGACAAAAGAGACCCAAAGACAATCTTGGACTAGTTCAAAAGTTTCCAGAAATAAACAGCAGTCCAGACAGATAATCCAGTTCAGTCCAGCTGATCCCAGATTCCATGTTAATTAGGCCAGCCTAAGCATCCACAGATTTTTGTCCTTTCACTTTTGAATATGTGCAGTACATTTATTTATCTGCTGTGTTCTTCATACCAGGTCTTTGCCACAGGGCAACAGCTTTTGACAGAACTGGCAGAATCAACCGAAGATGAGGTTTTCATTTCAGAGTCAAACTGAGGTGGTTTTCAAGTAGAGATTTTAAATTGTAACATGTATCTAGTATAACTGACTTGATACTTGGGGTTTGCACAACTTAAGTGATATCAGGAGAGGTAGGTCAGATGCATAAGCATGGTGCAGCTACAGGAACGAGGTAGTGAGCAGCTGTGAGGCTGTATCTTTTTGCAGTATCGTTACAAAAACTCTGAACCTTGACATCCATTAAGAGCAGAACTTCCTTTCTAATTTATGCCTGGAGTTTATTATTACGTTGTATGTTTCTCTAGAATAAGGACCCAAAAATGGCTCGAGTTGCACTGGAATCGCTGTACAGACTACTGTGGGTTTACATGATCAGAATTAAATGTGAAAGCAACACAGCTACCCAAAGGTAAGATGCTGTATTGTAATGATAATCAGGCCTTGTAGTGTGAATGTTGCCAGTGAAGAGGTTTATAGTTCTGCTGAATTCCTTTATATTGACCCTATTGCTGTTGTGAAATAAAAAACTCAACCATACAAACAAAATACACCCTTTTGTGGCAACATTGGTTCTTCTCCGACCTATTAAAATCACTATCTAAAGTATTTCTGCTCTTGAAAAAACTGAAAATCACTCTGTGTGGTTAAAGTTAGAAATACTTTTATAGTGACATGTCATTGGCTTGTTTATTGTTACTTGTAATGTAGTAATGAAAGAAAATAATTGCACTGAATTTGTAGCAAAGCCTCAGAACGAGATACCCCATTACATTTTCCTTTCAGAGGAATTACATTGTAGTCTTTCTAAACAGAGTAGGTTTTCCAACTTGAGTTTCATGATAAGTGAAGGTCTGCAAGGGCCGGAAATGTCTAAAGCTTTTTTTTCCTTCTTTTACAGTCGACTTATTACTATTGTCACAACACTTTTCCCAAAAGGGTCCCGTGGTGTTGTGCCAAGAGATATGCCTCTAAACATCTTTGTGAAGATAATACAGTTTATTGCACAGGTATGGGAAAACCATGCGTATGTCTTCCCAGTTAATGAACAACTTGGTTTTCCAATAACAAATTAACATATAAGTAAACTTCTATTGTCTGATTTTTTGCAACCCCATTGTCCGTGTCTTTCATCTAGGCAATGATAAAATTACACATTGAGGTGGGACATACCCCTTTTGATTAACTTTACTCCACTGAAAGTGGATAAAAATGTTTTCACTTAACGTCAAATATGTTTTTTGTCAGTTTTCAGAACTACCAGCAAGCCAGAAAATGACAGGCTCTGACTGTCAGTGAAGTTCAAAATAATAAGCCATATTTTGACCTGACACTGAATGATTCCTACTCTATAGGACAAGTTGCACTGCTTTTAAAGCAGTAAGTCAGAGGAAAACGCAGTGCAGCATGTAGCTGGCACATTTAATTGTCATCAGTACAAATGGGAATTGCTAAAATAAACTAACCGCCAGTACTAGAAGTTTCATGTCTTTTATTACTTAAATTCAGAAAACATTCCCATTGAGCAAAGCGCTTAAGCACATACTTGAAGTCTCTGAATAGGAATGGATTTAACAGATGCTTAAAATCTTCCCTGAACTGTGCCATCTGTGAACAAGCTCCTTTTATGTAAAATACTAAGTTAGTAGCATAATTACCACAGTTTAAATCAAATAATTAAAAGCTTTATTTCCAAAATGGATCATTTTCTGTTTAAATGCTATAAATTTTTTAATTTGTCAACATACAGCAGTGCTGAAAGCTTAGATCTGATAATGTGTTCTGTGCACTTCTGAAATCTGTTTTTCTGTATATTTCAATAAATCCTGATTAAACTGGTTCTCAACATTATGTTGCCTTAAAGAAAATTAGCAGCAGAAGTGAGCAGCTTAATGATTTGCAGTATTTTTACTATTTTAGGAACGTTTAGATTTTGCAATGAAAGAAATTATCTTTGACTTCCTTTGTGTTGGAAAACCAGCAAAGGCTTTCAGTCTCAACCCTGAGGTATGATGTGCATCTGCATTTTTTGAAGTTAGTATATATTGTCTTGTGCTACATTTACTTTCTGGTAACATTTTAAGCATGCTTTCATCTTTGTCCAATTTTCAGGCCAAATCTTGAACTTGATTTATTGGTAAAATACATCTGTGGACTTTGATCTGTGAAATGTCACATTATGCCTGTCTCATGTTTCCTCAGTGAAGATTATCAAATGTGAAGTAGTGCAGATGTATAAAACAAAACCAAAAAGATAAATAAAGCTATTGATCGCACAGTCTCTGTATCATTCTGCTGCTATATGCAATGCCTTAAACTATATTAATAGAAAAATTAATCTTCTGTAACAACTTCGGTGTTTTTCAAAACATTTTTATGGAAAAAGGGTACATGATGCAGGAAGAATTGAAGGTCACAATAACGAAAGACTCTGTTAGTGTTTTGCCACTCTGACTGGTAAACTCACTAGCTTTAGTGTCATGAGTCAGCTTCATAGTGCTTTCCCTAGAGAAAAAAATCCAAAATTTGAAAAACTTAAAACATCAAAATAAAATTAAGTGGTAAAATGATGAAAAATTCCCTTGAAAATAATGTATTTAATTATCATTTTGAAAACATTTTCATTTGAAAATTAGGACTAAACACATGAAAGATAAAAACATTCTGTGATCATCTCATAACATATGTCTGTATTAATCTTGCAATATGAAACAGTTGTTATCTCTTCACTAAGATGTTAGAATGAGTTACCTTAAGAAATATGTTTGTTACAAAAGAAATTTGGAAAAGTAGGTGAGAATTTTACTGTCAAAAGCAGCAGAAAGCAAGCTTTACTTTGCGGATAGCTTTCATCTTTCATCAGCAGAGTAAATGAAACAGAATTCTTGAGCAGGCAGTCCCCACCACATTCTGGGTCAGTCACCACAAGTATTGACTGGGGAAGGTCCCGCAGAGGATGTTGAGTAGTTGCATTGCATGAAGCCAAGCTTATAGGGAGTGGATATAGTCCTTAGCTTCTTGATGGATCAACATCTGGAGTTCTGCTGTTTCTCAAAAACAGTGTAAGTCTGAATACAATGAAATAATAGGGCTACTTTTTGATGTACATAGAATTTAGCATTCTAAAAAAATACCCATAATCTGTGTAAATGCACCCCTGGGAGACTGTCAGCAGGACAGCCTCTGAGGTTTTTGGAATACATTCCTAAGAAACTGAAAACATTCTGGTTTTTTAATTGTTGCAATGCTAAGCCTGCAAGTTTTCCTCTGGTGAATTCCCAGAAGGCATTCAGGTCACTTAGCCTCATGTTCCCGATGTCTTCAGATTGCAGTTTCAGTGCTGAGCACCATTCCAGTCTCTTCACTCAGTACGGTCAACCCTGGGGCCTTTCGGGACAGTTACTGATCTTTTTTCATAATGGACCACTTAGGACATTTATGTTTAACTGAAGGTCCAGTTAAGATGTGTTACTGAACTCCACATCATACCCATGTATTTTATACTGAAGACCAAAAAGATATTAAAAAAAAATGAAAATACTTTGAAATAAAGTTTTTCTTTATTTTTATTTTATGGGCATTTTTTATAAAATATATCAGACTAGTCAATGCAGCAGATAGACAGGAAAACAATGCTGGCAAGTGCATAACTCAACATTTCAGAGTGACTGAAGAATATGAGTCCAACATGATTATTTGATTTTCATACTCATTTATCTTCTGAACTTTACAGAGAATGAATATTGGTCTGAGAGCTTTCTTGGTAATTGCTGATAGCTTGCAGCAAAAAGATGGTGAACCTCCGATGCCAGTGACTGGAGCTGTCCTTCCCTCTGGAAACACTCTCAGAGTGAAGAAAACGTATTTGAGCAAAACTCTTACAGAGGAGGAAGCTAAAATGATAGGTCAGTAAGGGAATGGACAGTATGGAGACTTGGGTGAGAATGGGTGTGAAAAAGTCTTGAGCACCTGAGCAGAATAATTCACTATTGTTAAGTATTCAATTGATTTCTTTATTGTAAACACTAACTTTATTGTGCATTCTAATGAAATGTGTGGTTTAGTTTGACAAATACTGCTTTTTTAATTATTTCAGGAAAAGTCCTTAGTCATGCTCTGCAAGTGGTAGCAACCGTGTGTTCTGGGGGGTTAAGTAAACAGATAGTTAAGAATTAGCTTCTTTCAGTGCTGAATAGCAGTGTTTGTTCATGGATATTCATCTCACTAGAAACAGTGCCTGTGCTCAGAAAATGTACTAAAACCTTTGGTACATTTTGAAAACCTGCAAAGATTGCTTTGATATCCTCATTTTAATTGCAGTATCTCACACCAGGTGAAACTTTCAAAAAGGCAGAAACTTTCAAATGTAAAATAAAGCTGAAGTGCCTAAGTTAGAAGCACCATCACCATGGGCTTCCTTTGTAGTCAATGTAGAGAGAGAATCCTCTGCTGTAGAAGAGCTTCTGTATCGTGCCCTGAAGTGCTTCTTTTTGCTGACAAAAAGAGAAAGTTTTGCTGCTCAGCACTTCTTTAAGTCCCCAAAGTTAACGTGAATGAAACAAAGTCTCCGTATTTCTGCACTAGTGACAAAGACCTGTGTTGTCCTGTTGCTAGATCATTGTAGTTCCATCAAAAAAATAAGCATTTTAAGACCCCCTGCTGTTGAATTTTACAGCAGATGTAGTATTTAATGCTGTCGCTAATTCAGTACATTTTGGTTACTTGCCATGCATTCGGCAATAAATGTTTGCACTACTGACTTCTTCTATTTTATTAACAATTTCTTCACTATTTTATGATACAATGTTCTAGTTTCCGTGTACAACATGGAAGATTAATCTAGTAACTACTATGTTTTCTTTTGCCTTCTACTCAGCCATTGAACTTTTGACCATAGCAGATCTGAAAATTGATGTAATTTTGAAATTCTAAGCTTGCATTGTTTTTATCAAATAGGAAAAGAATTGGCTAGAGAATAGATGATTAAAAATATATTGTTCTGTGATAATATATAAAATTTCATTAAGAAAATTAAAATTCTGTCTTTTAATGAATATAGAGACTTAGTTCAAGTTTTATTTTTAAAGTATTTGATGTCTATCAGCTACTGTAAAGCTGTATGTCTAGTAGTGTTTTTCACATAAAATGTCATGCCATTAATTTCCATACCAAATAAGTTTTAGGAGAGCTCATTTGGCTTCCCTTTTTCTCTTTGCCTGTAGTTTTTAAACCTTGCTACTGGATCAGAGCTTGAATTCAGTGATGAAAAGGCACAAAACACATTGTGTAACTTGGCAAACTGTACGGCTTCATTTGACTATGTAGGGACATACTTTGACTAGATATTTTAAAATTTCTTCTCCAGTAAAAGTATGTGTGTGTGTATATATATATCACAAGCTATTTTTACGTACAACAGCACTATTTTTGGCGAGGGCAACATATTCCATCTCCGAATCAGGGTATCACTAGTGGAATATGCAATCTCATGAGGAAAACAGTTTTCTTAAGTCCTGCAGCACAGCATGAAGAAGCAGTTTTCTTTTTCAAAATATACATATCTAAAAATAACCCAGATTATACAAAAATGCGTATTATTGCAGGTATGTCATTATATTATTCTCAAGTAAGAAAAGCCGTGGACAACATACTCAGACACCTTGACAAGGAAGTGGGTCGGTGCATGATGCTAACCAACATACAGATGCTTAACAAAGAACCTGAAGACATGATTACGTGAGTGCTATGAAAGAGTAAATGTCATAAAATATTTGGATATAACTTCATAACTTTTTCTCTATTTTTGTCTATCATGAGTCATCAGAGAAACAGCAAGAGGCAGGCACATTTAGCTTAGTTAGTATATACCTTGAAGAACTGTTTATGACAAGCTGAATGTACTTCTTTGCATGTTGCAGTGTGTGGAACTGAACTGATGCTCTCGATGGAGCCAAAATCACGTGTCAATCCTATGAATGTTTAGATGGTAGAAACTGAACGCCCAGAGTGGAAAACCTGTCAGCCCACTGTTTCAGGGTATATTTGCATCAATGTACTTCAGAAAGAATGCAACAAATTCTGTAGATCCCTATTAATAATAATCTGTCAAAATTTCCATTACTATTCATGCCTGTAATCAAAATCAAGTATTAATTAAACCCCCCAGTCATTCTATTATAAGAGTCTTGCATTTAAGCGGTAGCCCACTGGAACAGAATCAAGCCAGCATGTTTCAAGCAGTGCTGAACAGCAGCATTTTACACTCTCATCCAAAATTATTAATGAGGGAAGTTTCCTGGAGAGAGTTGTAGTGAGGTGGACATCTCATAGACTTCAGAAACACAGAGACATTATTTGGCACATGCAGAGCACGAATTGTAGAGATCCCAGCTGTAAGGGGACCTTGCATATCTTTCCTCTTAGAGGGGTGGACATGGTCGGTATGCCAGAAGAGAAGCAAGCCATGGAAAAAAGCTTCAGGTGTAATGAAAAGGACATTGGTCTCGTCAAGATTGTTTTTTTCATATACTGTCAAAAAATAAGGATAACTTGCAAAAAATACTGTGAGTTGTAGATAGACTGCAATGACTGGCCGAATTCAACTGCCTTCTACAGCTGATACAATCTTTATGTTTTAATGTCATTCCTCTGCCCTTGTTTGTTGCTGAGACTGTACATTCTTTGTGCCTGTAGCATTGTCTTTATTTATATTAAATGCTGGTATTACTACCCAATAATATTTCGTATTTTTCTTAAAGTACTACCCAATGTACTGCTCAGTACTCACAGCCAGTTTTCATAACCATTTTGGATATCCCGGCGTTCATGAGAGGAAAAGTGAGTTTTGAAACTCACATTTTATTCCCAAAAGATAATTGCATAGTAAAACCTTGAGCAATAAGATAAGAAGGGTACTTAACCTTAGCTATAAATGTCTTTTCTCTGGTTTCTCAGAATCACCAGAGTGTGGTTTATTTTTAAAGGCAATGAACAAATAGGCTTAAAAGAGTTTTAAATTTCAGGAAATCTTACGGTTTGATAGTAACTTTTGTCAGACATAAAGATTTTAAGGTTGGAAGATCTAGATGTGTAAGTTACTGTATTTTGTTTTGTACTTTGTATCCAGATGAGGTGTAACTTAACATATACACTTGAAAGGAAAAACACTTTATTCTTCCAAAGAAAAAAAGTACCTGGGATGCCTAATTATCAGTCAGTCTAAAATCATGTGATCTCATGAAAAACATCTAGTAATGTGCTCTTACTGTCGGCATTTAAAATGGCCCCTTTAAAAACTCCATTGTGCATGATAAAGCCAATATATTTGTCAAATGTAATTGCATATCATTCACAGAACTTCATGCTTCACTAGAGTTACATATTTGTTTTGAGTTCTTAGGGGTTTCAATACATAGATACAACACTGCATCTGTATTTTATAGAGTTACAGCTTTTGTCATGTCTACATATAGGTAATGTTATTTTATAAACTGGATATCATAATGATATTTTTAATATCAAATAGAATTGGAATCAGGGAAATAGGTAGGCAATTAATAATCATAAGATTTTAATATATGCGGATTCTGGAATTTTAGGCATGCCTCTGAATTTAATGACTGATCCTTTGAGCATTTATTGTTGAGGTAGTAAATGCTACTCTGAAGAGTTTTACTGAAATCCTGACTGAGGACCATCCTTTGCATCCTCCACTGGGATATGAATTTCAATCCGGGTTATAATTACTTTGCAACATGTAGTCAGAACAGGGCATCCATTTTTCTAACATACAAACCTGTTCTTGCAAGTACTTCAAAGATTTTTGCTGGCAATACCTAACAAAGATCTGATACTGCTGGTATGGAAACACAAGCTCCCAGGTGAGGACAGCTGTCTGTGTGTTCATCTGGAGCTTGTCCTGTTGGATCCTGAGTCAGCCAGAGATGACTCTTGAGCCCTGCGAGGCCCCCCCTTGACATACCTTTTGCATGCTGTGCCTGGTGGCTCAGATAAGTTGGGAACTTGAGCCGCAGATTTGGATCTTCTCTGGCTAGTCTGAGCAGCTGACAAGCCACAGAACACCTACAGATTTTATATTTATAAATAATTACTTACGTGCCTTCAAAACAGTTTCCTCTTAGACTATTATTTTACTCTCCTCCATTTCAAATGCAAAAAACTGCTTACCCTTTCCGGGGACTGATGAGAAGGAAAATCTGCAAGGTTCTCTTTCCTCTTCAAGTCAGCAAGGAAGATAAACTCATCAGTTTGCTTGCAGATAAAATTACAATTTAAGTGTAAATTTTTAGCAATTTACTGTTTGCAACTATAAATATAATATTTTTCAATAGGTATTAATGCACCTGTTATTTGCATTAGCAATAATACTTCAAAGTTTATAACCAAATTCTCAGGTGACGTGTTTTACTCTTTTCAAGTCAGTTGCTGACAACTTCTTTCAAGTTCTGTCTGTTAGGATACAGGATACAAGGACAAGGAGATAGAGATAATTCAGTATGAAAATAGTTTCCCCTCACAGCATAATTTAAGTCAGTAGATTAAAATCATATCATTATATTATTTTATTAATGTAATACATATCCAAGCTGATAAGAGGAAGAATGTAATTCGCTAAAAAACTGTCTTTAATCTTTGAATTAAGTACGCCTAGTGTCAGTTTATGCCTTTTCTGTACCCATTATTTCAATGAATGCTCGGCGTTACTCTATAAATCTCATTTTTGACTTAAGAGGTTTACATTATGGCTTCCTGTGTGAATGTTCTCTGTTGGGTGGAGAGGCAGAGTAATGTAGTGAGACGGGCATTGGACTGGGGTGCAGGAAAGCTGGGCTCATTTTCTGTTTTGTCACTGAATTTCAGCGTGGTGTTAAGTAGCTTACAATGTCTCTTTTTTCCATTCTTTTCTAGTTCAATCAATAGCATATTAAAGCAGGATCAGTCTTTCTCTGCATGTTTATAGTAGGGTCCCTGAATAGGACCTTGCTCTTTTGATTCTTCCAAAACACATTGCAGGCTAACGTAATGGGAGAGACTGTACAGTTTGAAATGCTGTTATGCTCTACTCAGTTGTCAAATAATAGTTCATAGAGTCAAAAATGAGCAAATAAAACCCCACATTTTGGGATCTGTCTGAAAGATTTCTTTAATCTGCATTCTCAAAAGAAAGTTTTGGAAACAAGTCAGAAAACAGCTGCATCTGTTGTGAAAATAATCAGCAGCTGAAACATGACTACTACTTTTAGAAGACTTAAGGACTCACAACCTGGTTTTTGGCTCATGGCTGAACTTTAGACTCAACCACTTTCCCAGGCTGTTAGGGAACAGTTGAGCCATTCCACAGCTTAGAGCAGCCTTGGGGCTACTGAAACTGCTTTGGCTGATAATGGTTGCGAAAGTGCTGCTGTCTCAGGCAAGGATCAACAGAAATTCTCTGGCCATACCTACCTCTACATTATGCTGCTTTTTCAGTATAATAAACTGCAGTGTATGATTTCCACCGATCTGTGCCCTATTGAGGGCAACTGTCTGGGTCTTTGGTCTTGTCACTTGGGCTTCTGACATATATGCTATTTACTTTCTACAACTGGTGTCATATAGCTGGGCTGCAATGGGGAACACCCCAGCTTTTTCCTCATTGCCTCATCCGGAGCCTGCATCACACAAATGCTCATCTTGGTGGAGGAACTGTCCTACATTATAACTCCATCTTGATATATCTGCCAGTTCCTCTCAGAGAGAAACAAATGAGCCAGTAGTAATTGATTTTTCAAGTACTGTATGGATACAATGCATGAAAAATGGTAAAATCAAAACCATTTATTCAACAGAAACATTGATTTGTGTTTCCTTCTTATTTCATTTGTAGAGTCTAGTTTTATGTCCTGTTGTCCTTACTAGGCCTCTGGCACTCGGTTATGTCCAGCACTTTTCTGAAAAACTGTAGGTGGATCATTTAACACAGTTACTTGTTAAGCTTAGTCAAAATTCTGGTTTAACTTTTCAGCGGTGAAAGAAAACCAAAAATTGATCTCTTCAGAACGTGCGTTGCTGCTATTCCTCGACTGCTTCCTGATGGAATGTCAAAACTTGAGCTGATCGACTTGCTGGCAAGGTAAGCTGTTCAAGCATTAAATGACTGCTCAAGGGGAACAGAATGAAAAACTGAACCACAGAATGTGTGACTGTTTCTTAGACAAAACCATATGCTTACAAAAAGTGCTCTGATACTAATGGATCAGACATAGAGGTGTTAGCATCTTTTTACAGGCATTGTGTGGAGCCCTGAACATAAGAAGGATATTGACTGGTTGGAGCAAGTCCCGAGAAGGCCACAAAGATGCTCAGAGGGCTGGAGCACCTCTGCTATGGGGACAGGCTGAGAGAGTTGGGCTTGTTCAGCCTGGAGAAGAGAAGGCTCCGGGGAGACCTTATAGCCCCTTCCAGTACCTGAAGGGGCTACAAGGAAGGTGGGGGGGACTTTTTACAAGGGCCTGTAGTGACAGGACAAGGGGGAACGGGTTTAAATTGCAAGTGGGGAGGTTTAGATTAGATAACAGGAAGAAGTTCTTCCTGGAGAGGGTGGTGAGGCACTGGAACAGGTTGCCCAGAGAAGCTGTGGATGCCCCATCCCTGGGAGTGTTCAAGGCCAGGCTGGATGAGGCTTTGAGCAACCTGGTCTAGTGGAAGGTGTCCCTGCCCATGGCAGGGGGGTTGGAACTAGATGGTCTTTAAAGTCCCTTCCAACCCAAACCATTCTGTGATTCTATGATTATAGACTTCTCATTTTATAACAGAGTAGGTATGTCATCGAGAAATCTTTTCCATCAGTATGTAGGTTACATGATACTCACTGTTCTTCATGATACTGGCCATTTATTGCATTTTTTTGGCCATCACATCATTCTAATAAACAGGAGAGGAGATCTCTTCTGTCTAATGGAAAAATCTGGAGATACCCATTTAGTTCTGATTTATGATTCCCACATGTCCGTTTGATAAAACAGAATGTGCTAGATGCGGTGTCTTTCCGAATACTTTTTAAAATTTAATTTTTTTTTCTTTGCTAAAAGATAGAAAATCAAGACAAGGATAAGTTTAAATTTCATATCCTTCCTGCCTGGAGTCCACTGAATTTACCTAGGTAGACTTCACTTTACTGAAGAACGTAGCCTGCAACACCGACTGCTAAAACAGTTTAGGTTTCAGGATGTCAAAGCAGTGACTTATGCAAATAATTATGATAACAAGTATTGGTCAGTACAGAAATTCTGTTACATTTCAGTTCTGTATCCAAGTCAGAGCTTCCAGCATGGGTTATTTTTGTAAGTGGATTATAGTGGTAAATGCAGCCCTGAGGCCGTTGGAGCACATCGCTCTCAGGTGACTGTGACGAAGCGATCCTTGCCACTCTGCTCTTGCTTTTGAAACGTCTGTGAGGAGTGGAAGACACGGGAGTCAGAGGGTTACATGCAAAAGCAGGCACTTTTTTTCTCTATGAACACCCAACTCCCAGTGATGTGCTAAAACAGTGAAACAATTAATTCTGCTAGCAGTAAAGGGTGCAGACAGCCATACAGGCCAAAATTGCAGCCGGTGGTAGGTGTGCTGTGGTGCATGGCAAGCTTGATTTCCTTGTGTTTATGTCCTCTGCTATAAATCACTTGTGGGTTGTTTTAAGTCATGACATTATCAAGTTATATGGATACCGTATTAAATAGTAACATCGATTCTGCTTAAGGGAAATGAAAAAGGACTTGTTTCCCTTTAATCCAATACTTTAACTAGCTTTCTATCCTTAGTAATGGCATTAACCGAGCTGGTAGAAAGAACATATCCATTCTTGTCACAGCTCTTAATCACAGAGGATTGTCCAGGTCAGACCCATCGCTACTCTTAAGAAAGCTTAGAGGCAAATGTGGATTTCTTCATAAATTGATGCTTCCCTCCTTAAATCTCACAACTGTTAATATAACCACTTGTCTATCTTTATTCTATCATCAAACTTCATGCAGAAAAGGTCAGTTGTGATTATTCAGTCACAAGCAGTTTGTAAGCATTTCTTGGGCAATTTCCATGCTGAGATACTGGAAGCAGGAGGTCTGCTGGGTTGTCCGAGTCTGACTGTGGGAAGAAGTGAGACATAAAGAAGAGCTGAGGATAGCATCTCTAGAGCAACTTTGGAAGTACTTACATGCTTAGCTTTTCCCCAGCAAAGGGACCTTTAGGAAGCTGTTCTCATCTCCTTCATGTACATGCTACATGTAGATGCTACAGCACTTTGAGTCATTGATACTGTTTTAAATCAGATTAGCAAGGGAAACGCAATTTAGGTAGAAGTAAGTGGATGCATAATAGGTTGGAAAGCAGTTAAGAGTTTGTGGTTCAGGAGATGAAATAAGTGGGTAGGGTCTCAATATTGCAGAGCAGGATCACAATCTGAACACACAAAATGAGAGTCATGTTCCTATGAAAAGGCAAACCTTATTCACATCTGGAAATAAAAGTAAGTCTAAAAGATTTTGAAAAATTTATTCTGGTCTTATCAGTATCAAGGATGCCTGATTTGGAGAACTGCATCCAAGCTGGGGCATTGCAGTGGAGAAGAGACTGACCAGAGAACAAGAGAAAGATCAGTGGGTTTTAAAAGAACCCGAGAAGCTCTTCTGCCAGGGATTTGTGTGGGGGTGTGTTGTTGGGATGGAAAGCTGTTAAATATCTTCTTTTCACTAAAGATCACATAACATCCATGGGTTAATGGGTCCTTTTATTCACACACAGAATCTTTCATCCTCACAACAGAGGAGTCTGCAACTCAGCAGCTAGACTTCCTTCCAGGACAGCTGTATTCAAATTATAAGTCATAACGCAGATGTCAAGTATATACTGTACCTTTTGCCCTTCCACTGCCCACTGAAACCGTTCCTTTGAAATTACCAAGTAGGTCTTAAATTTAACTGACTCAAGTGCAAACAAACAAACAAACATTTACTTGCTTCCTCAGTGGCCTGTCATGTAATGGTAATTCATAGATGCATCTTTATGCTCAATTTGAATTTCATCCCATTTAATAATGCTGTTGGGCAGGAACTTGGGCTTAGAGACATATGTCTTTTGTATTCTTGTTATTACTTTGTGTCATTGTGCAAGTCATTTCATGGATGACATTATTATAGTCTCAGGGGGTTTGCTTGTTTTTCTGGTTTTGGCATTCCAAAGAGTAGACAAAAATTGTCCTTTCTTAGCACGTCAAAATACTGTGTTTCCAAATTTATATACAAAGTCATGTGGTTATTAAAGCCTAAAAGTTATTTTTGGAGTCATATTCAGCAAGGGTGAAGTTTCACAGCAGTTGCTTTCCTTTGGCTTAAACGAAAAGTCTCCTGCCTCCCAATTACACAGCTGTAATGAACCAAATTTGTTATGAGCTGCATCTCATCATGCACTTCCAACTGAACGGAATTTAGTTCCACTCCATTTGGCTATTTTTTTCCTCCTAGTTTTCTGTTCATTTCTTATAATGCATCCTCGTTTTCATCTATGTAGATTAAATGTAGATAAAATACTTTGAAAATGAGTTCTAACACACTACAAAAAACTACAGTCTCATGGGTAATTAAAACAAAATACATCATAAAGGCAATGAACCAAAAATTGCAGAACACACTGATCTGAATTTGCTTTATTCTATCAAGCTACCAACACAGAAGTGGTTTGATAATTTTTGTGTCAAAAGCAAGTATAAAGAATTTCTGTGTTGAAAAGAACTTCAGCACAATGCAAGTACAGAAGGAAGTAAAATTTGAAAATGGGATCTAAAATTGCACTGTCTTTCAGAAGAACTTTGGGGTTGTCTGATATGTTTTTAAAAGTGTGGAAGTCCTGAGGCTGTTTTTCACATTTCCCTATCCTAAGATTTTTAAAACATAAAGCAGTTTTTTAATTCAAATGCTTCTTTATTTTTTTTGAACATTTAATTTGAATAACTGATTTGCTTCTTGGATAAAAAATCAGTTTAGCAGGTAGGCAGCTGAGGTGCTGTGATTCTTTTATTTTTATATTGGAAGTAAACAAATACATACATAAATTATTAAATTATGTGCTAGCCTGTAAGCTTTTTGTTATTATAAATATACATGTTATTTTCTAAGTGAGTACTTGGTTCAAGGAGACAGCAAAGTTGCCAAATTATATACTTCAAAAATTCTCATCTTTTAGAGTGGAACACAGACTTCTTTCAGATCCATGAATATGTTCAGGCACTTTTGTAGCAAGAATTACAGTATAAAATCAGGCTAAGGATGATAATTGTGGTCAGTAATAATGAAACTATGATAGCATCATTGAAATCTACATTGTCATTGGGAAACTTCTGTCAGTGTTAAGTTACTGAGAAACATATGCTCCTTACCACGATAAATACTCCTGAGATTCTGATGACCTGACATTTACTTTTACTTACAGGCTATCTATCCATATGGATGATGAACTTCGACACATTGCACAGAATTCTCTTCAGGGTCTACTTGTTGACTTTGTTGATTGGCGGGAAGATGTACTCTTTGGTTTTACTAATTTTCTGCTTCGTGAAGTGAATGATATGCATCATACCCTTCTTGATACTTCACTGAAGTTGCTGCTACAGTTGCTTACGCAATGGAAGCTTGTAATACACACTCCAGGAAAAGCCTCTGAACAGGCAAAAGCCAGATCTGCAGAGGTATGAAATCAAGAGATCTGTGTCCTAATATTTATACTAGTTGAAGGCAGAAATTATGTTCCTTGGTACTGCTGTTGTTTCTGTGGTTTGTATTTACTCACCTGAGAAGAATTCACTATGTAAGTTTTTTGAAGGTAATTAGTTCAGCTGTCTTTTGAGGATAGCTATGTCCTTGTGTAATAGAGCAGATGTTGTTGTTGAGCAACATGAGAGAATGCATGTCAAACTGAAATACGCACATCAACAAAAGCACATAAAGTGAAATATGTGTGTGTAGATGTGGCAGAAGGATATTTTCCCAGAACTGAAAATGGTTGATAATGCTAGTGAGAACACTGGGAAGAGCAAAGTGGATCTTCCCTTCCCGTAGCCATTTCATTTGGTTGATTAAAAAATGTCAAAGAACCCAATTGTTTCTACAGCCTGCTGTCTCCACGTGTTGCAAACAGTCCTGGGAAGCGAACAGCTTTGCTCCTGCTCTTTCCCCCCAGCACTGTCCCACAGATACTTTCATTATGAGGGATGATTTTCAGGCTTCTTATCTCCTAACCCAATCACACTGGAAATGTTTTTCTTTGAGCAAGCACGAGCAAGCATGCTTTATGTCACAGAGGGCCATTACTTAATAGGGAATAATAGTGTTGCAAAAATACAGAAAAGACAAATCCTCACATACTTTTCAGTAAATATTCTTACACTTTGCTGGTGGGGTCAGGTTCTAGAGGCCACCTACCTGAGGCGTTGCCTGCTGCAGGATCAAAGAAAGACCTGAGGACCTGCTCTCTGGAGTAGAAAAAGTGTGAAGTCTTCACAGTCTGACTTACCCATTCCTTTTTTAGTGGAGGATGCACTTAGTAGATAATAGTTAAATTGCAAATTAGGACCAAAGGACTCTATTAAAAAATTAGTTTTGTGGAACAGGACAACTTAAAGCAACACAACTTGGTTGTTTGAGGGAATGCTGTCGGTATCCTACTTCAGCGGCATTTACATGGCCTCTGCATTTTGTTTGTGTCCTAATTAAATAGAATATTTCTTGGAGACCTAATTTTCAAACACTGTCACTCCACTTTTCCCTCCTTGCACTGTTCTGCAGTTGATACCAAATGGATCCAGCCACAGGATACAGTCTGAAAGAAGCCCCTATTCTAACGTACTCCATGCAGTCGAAGGATTTGCGCTGGTTCTGCTGTGTAGTTTCCAGGTTGCTACACGTAAATTAGCTGTTTTAATCCTCAGAGAGATCCGTGCTTTATTCCTGGCCCTTGGCCAGGCAGAGGTATGGTTTTCCTTTTCTAGAACTTTGAATTAAAGTTTTCCAGGAAAAGATAAAGCTCAAAGCTTCTATTACAGTTGCTTTTAATGTAATTGCTGTGGTGTAGCAAGTATGCACTTAGTTTATAAAAAAGCATTTGGCCTGTGCTTACCATCTCTGTTTGCCTTAACACTGCAAACATTTCTGTGTACTTAACAATGTAACATTAATAGTATGTGCTCCGTACAAGAATTTGAAGGGAAACGTGCACAGCAACTTCATTTTTTCTCTTGGCATGATGTGAATGTACAAGACACTGCAAAAACTTTTTTTCTGCATGGATTATTTTTGTATTGTCAGGATTATAAATTTATATTGGAAATGAAACTCATTCCTGTAGCATACCATATAGTAAAAAACCACAGCATAAGACACATTTAAGATTATTCACATACATTTCCCTTGTATAGTAAAGACCTCTAAGTCTTTTTTATGGATATAGAAATACGGAGAGTCATGATGTGTGTTGGCAGTCACAGCTCAGTGAGCCATCTAAATGCCTAAGAACACAAATATCTGTGTTCATGCCAAAGGAATGCTTTAATAAACAGTAAGCTAATTTTTCAGTCTTTTGATACCAGCTCTCCAAAGTCATTTGGGATTTTCTGATATGAGCTTTTGTTTGGTAAGCAGCGAGCTATAGCCACAAATTAACTTCATTTCAAACCGCAGCCTGGACTTGGTTCTGAGATTTGTATGAAAAAGACAAAATGGACCCATCATTACCCATGAAATTTTTTTAGCTATTTTAGATTCATGTCATAATTTGTAGGTGGCTCTGTTTCATATACCAGCAAAATAAGAGAAATAATTTGGTCAGGAGAGCAATTAACTTGTGTTCTCTGTGTTATGCAGGATGATGACAGGCCTATGATTGATGTCATGGATCAATTGAGTTCTTCTATTCTGGAAAGTTTTATTCATGTGGCTGTTTCAGATTCAGTAAGTACTACTTTACTGTTACTGCTAGCGTTTACGCAGCACATGGACATAACAAATATCAGGCATGACATACTAAAAATAAAGCTGCTAAAAATCCAAGAAATCATACAACTTTAAGGTTCCTTACTTTTATCCAAGGCTTCACAATGTCCCAGACAATGTGTTTCATGAAAAAATCATTCTGTGGATGTAGAAGATGTTACCTATAGAAAAAAAATAAAGTAACTAAAGTTATAATCAAAGCTGTGTAGATGCTGGACCTCTGACCTGCATCTGAAAAGAACCATTGGAAAGTCTTGTTTCCAGCACCACCTGATGCTTGGGGCACTTGAAAGTCACTCACTGCTATAATCTCTTCCAGAAGGGAATAAGCTGTAGCTCCCTTGTGTGCTCAGAAGCGGCCTTGCCTGCAAACCTAAGTCTAAGCTCTAGGGTAATGCCCAGCTGGGGTGAATCCCTGCCTTCACTCTCTCATGGATTTAATGTGCCTGGCGTCACCAGAGGAAGCAGAGATGCAGTAAGCATTTTGAAGGAGTCAGCAGAAGAACTGATAGATGGGTAACTTGGCTTACATACTTAGAGATTAGTGCCCTTGTCCAGGGAGCAGGAGCTATCAGTTCTGGGCACTGTTCAGCTTGGTGAAGTTTATAACAAGATTTGTGCCACATGAGTGCCCTTTCCTGGGGTAGGAAGGGGACATTGAACCGGTAGTGTAGTCGGGCCATTTTGCAGCTGAAAACAAGAAAACTGAGGAATCAGAAACTGGGCACGGAAGAGACGTTCTGGCTCTGTAACCCAGAAGTTAGGAATTTTAGCTGAAATAACAGAACCTGGGTTTGGATGTTGCAGTTTCTGTAGGCAAGGGTTTGGATTTTGTGCTTTAATCCTGTGCATTGATAATATAACAAAGCAAGTGTGTTGCCTGTGTCCCCGGTTTCTGACAAGTACAGCAGAGAGTGGTAATATAGCGATTGCTTATGCAACAACGGGTGCAGGAAGCAGGCAACTGTTGCATCCGATCTGAGGTCTCATAAGTGAATAATGAGGATGCCAAAACACATGGTTTAAATTTTTATTCCACAAAGGTGTTTTCTTAAGACAAAATTTAAATTACAGTAGAGAAATGGTTTGCTGATATGAGAATTCTACTTGCTACTGAAGGTAGCTGGATTTAAAGTGGATTAAAACTGCTTGGGCACCTGCTTCTGCCTCTTAATTTCCTACACACATATTCAAATACCCTTATGAATTCTGAAGAATATTTATTAATAGCATCGAGATTTATCATATTGTCATAGGAGACTTAATCATGGGCTAAAGTTCTGCCTGGCTGTTTGGACCATGAACGTAAGGCCAGTCTGTATTATTACAGAGTGCAGTCTCATCCAAGAGACGGTGCATGTCTGCAGGCAGCAAAGAGAATGGAAAGTAACAGTGAGATTATATTGATCAGCATAATCAATATTTATTGTAGAATTTAAGGGCACAAGTTATTGTGCCTATTGCAGTAATAGGGGCTTTAAGGAAGAACCAGAGGGGAAATAATGAGGTAGCTCTTACCAACATTTGTGAACAGCTGTTCCTGAGTGAAAGGGCACTGCGATGGGAAGCATAAGAATGTTGGTCTAAAAAATCCTACAGAAGTTGTCCATAGAGCTTGAAAATAAAGACAAGTGCTGAGGGGTAACATGGCAGGGGTAACTGACTGTGATTTTTATCTTTTCTCTCCGTAGACAACAATCCCATTAACACACAGTGTGGATTTGCAGTGGCTGGTGGAGTGGAATGCCGTCCTAGTGAATAGCCATTATGATGTGAAGAGTCCTTCCCATGTCTGGATATTTGCACAATCTGTTAAAGACCCATGGGTTCTCTGCCTCTTCAGTTTTCTTAGACAGGAGAATTTACCAAAACACTGTCCTACAGCTCTCAGCTATGCTTGGCCATATGCTTTCACGAGGTTGCAGCTGATAATGCCTCTTGTGGATCCAAAGTAAGAGGCAATCTGCATTTAACTTTCATTTCTATGGGTTGTGTGATTTCAATACAAGATTTTTTTAGCCTCATGTTTCAGTATCAGTGTGTAAGTCCTGCAAGGTGTTACCCAAACATTCAGTTTTGAGTTTCATAATTTCAACCTGTAAGGTGGAAAACCGTAGTTTTCTACCTTCATTGATCTTTCCCATGTATCGTGTCATATTACCAGTTGGAGCAAGTCCAGAGGAGGCCACGAAGATGCTCAGGGGGCTGGAGCACCTCTGCTATTGGGACAGGCTGAGAGAGTTGGGCTTGTTCAGCCTGGGGAAGAGAAGGCTCTGGGGAGACCTTATAGCACCTTCCAGTACCTGAAGGGGCTACAAGGAAGCTGTGGGGGACTTTTTACAAGGGCCTGTAGTGACAGGACAAGGGGTAACGGGCTTTAATTGACAGTGGGGAGGTTTAGATTGGCTGTCAGGAAGAAATTCTTCCCGGAGAGGGGGATGAGGCACTGGCACAGGTTGCCCAGAGATGCTGTGGATGCCCCATCCCTGGAAGTGTTCAAGGCCAGGCTGGATGAGGCTTTGAGCAACCTGGTCTAGTGGAAGGTGTCCCTGCCCATGGCAGGGGGATTGGAACTAGATGGTCTTTAAGGTCCCTTCCAACCCAAACCATTCTGTGTTTCTGTGATTCTGTGATATTGAATAGCAGCTGGTGGCTACGTACCAAGTTTTATTACCTTTCAAAATATTTAAAGATCCTGTGTAATTAAGACTGGGAAATTATTTTAATAATTTTTACTTACTTTTAAATTCTAGTATTCCTGTTAATGCAAAGAAAACAAGTACAGCAAGCAGTGGAGACAACTATGTTACTTTGTGGAGAAACTATCTTATTCTCTGTTTTGGAGTAGCAAAGCCCAGTATTATGAGCCCAGGACACTTGCGTGCTTCAACACCAGAGATCATGGCTACCACTCCTGATGGAACAATGAACTACGATAATAAGGTGATGCACCCTGTTTCAAACAAATTCTTAATTTAGGAGAGTTTTAAACTGCATCTGCATGCAAAACCATATCCTGGTGAAAATATTTCAGTTAGGGGAATATTTTGATATATGCAAACTGCTTAAGGCACATAATTAACAATGAAAACATCTGTACAGTCTGTATCAGTGTGTCAACAAATATTCAGCAAAAGCCATGACATTTTCAAAATACTATGTTTTTTGTCATATTCTGGGTAATGTATGTTCAAAACATGGAAGTTCTGGACATACATGTTGCAGTTAACTTTAGTTTGTCATCCCCTTTCTTTCCATGCAGAGCACTCCAATTTGTCAACTTAGAGCAGGATTAAGCAGTAGGGCAGATGCCTGAATAAGCATTGTATGCCTGTCAGACATGAAGGAATATTTTGTGAAATACAGTTTCAACTAGGAGCAACCTGAGAGGAGCAGTAGCTCCACAATTACTGGAATATTTTAATGAAACAACAGATTAAGTAAATTACAGTAAGCTGAATGAAAGCAAAGATATTTCCCAGATGTATTTATTTGCTAGGCCTTATTGAGATGATTGTGATGTAGGAGACATCCAGATAGGCTGGTGTATTAATATCCACAAGAGTAAAATAATTTCAGCATGTTTTTAAAATAAATTTTCTTTTTTGGACAATGCCTTTTTGTAAAAAAAAAAATAATTTGTATTTACTTAATATTGATAATCCTGTCAATGATTTCTTAATATATTTTAGGCTATTGGAACTCCATCTGTTGGAGTCTTACTAAAGCAGCTAGTGCCTTTGATGAGACTTGAAAGCATAGAAATAACAGAATCACTTGTGTTAGGATTTGGAAGAACAAATTCCCTTGTTTTCAGGTACTTCCCCACTTATCATATTCTTAGTTATTTGCATCTAATTCAAATGCATTACTTTTGTTGTAATTTAAATATACTAAAATTTTTATTTGCACTCTAGACATTATTGCTTATGTATTGATTAAAATATTGATTTTTTTCAGAGGAGACTAGATTTTGTTTTCAAATTCTTGATTTTTTTTTTTTTAATTTAGGGAATTAGTAGAAGAGCTTCACCCACTAATGAAAGAAGCCCTAGAAAGAAGACCAGAGGTTAGTTGAGAAAATTAAATGTACTAGCTTGTTTAAACTGCAAAATTAATTTTAGAGTAGTAATTTTTTCTCCTTGAAAAACAAGGAAATTCTTTTGTAACAATTTAAGCTCTGTGTGCAATTGTGTATAAGAACATAACTTAAAATAATTCAATTAAAACTTAGTTTAATTTAAATTCTATCAGTGATACAAAATGTGCAATATAGAAATCTATTTTGAGGAAAAATTTCTACTCAAATATGGAACCTCCTCATTGGGAAGTCAGCTGTATTGGAAATCCACTTTCAATAGCTGGAAAAAAGTACCTTGTAACACATCTGGGCTACAAGCACATTTCTTGTCAGTGTTCAGATACACTTTTTATTTGCAGGGTAGGCAGGGTGATCTATTTCAATTTCAGTTGATTGTATTTGTTTACTCTAAATACAGCAAGTTAACTGGCAAATTCATAATTTTCACCTTCATTATAGTGCTGCCCTTTGTCATAACAGCAGGTAGTGCTAGAAGGGATCCCACTAGATCATCTGATCTGTTGAAGGGAGGATGAACTAGTCTTGTGCCATTCCTGACAGATACTGTCTAAACTGTTCGTAAAAACCTCTGGTGGTAGACTCTGCAGCCAGACTAAGCAATTTAGTCACAGCATGTGTCGCTGCGGCTAAACAGGAAAGCCGTGGGGAGAGCTTGAGTACTGGACTGGAGTTCCTGTTCTGCTCAATTTTCCCTCCATAGCTCTGTTATGGCTCATTCCAGCTGGCTCCAGGACAGAAATCCGAGATGGCTCTGGATGTAGCACACACCCAGGAACAAGCCCCAGAAGGCACCAAGCCACCAAACTTGTCCTTCTCCAAACCACCCCAACTGCCTGTCCTCTGCTATGCTTCCCCTCCTCCCAGCGTGCAGCAGCCTAAGGGGCAGGTTACAAAACTGCTGCGGCTGCGAAACACCCCTTGGGTTAGAGCAGGCGGTCTGTGATGAGAAAATACGCGGTGATCCTGCCATTGCACCGGTCAGGCTAGGCGAGGTGGACATAGCCAGCCTTCCTGAGGTCTTCTGGAGCAGTGGGAATAGGAGGCAGCCTGCGCCACTTGACTCTGGGGCCACGAACAGGCCCTGTCTCTGTTAACCAGTGTAGACACAAGCAATGTTGCTGCATTAACACTGTCCTCTGCCCACGCCTGTTTACCTGGTTCTCAAGTAATTTCAGACTGCGGGTTCACTGCCCTGGCCTCCACAGCAGTTTCAGTAAGGTATCCTCACGGAGACCTGCTGTGCTGTCCCCCTCTGCCAAGTCATAGTCTGTGGTGCAGAAGCCACACAGGGAATGGTGGTTGGGAAGAAGTTAAATCATTAGTAGGTGGACAGAGGCTCACAGCTAGGCCCCATGTGGGATAACAAAAATTAATTCACTTGGTGAGCACTTAATTTGTGTTAAGTTTTACGAGGACAGTTCTTAATGATTCTGCATCTGGCAAACATCCACTACCGTTTCCACTCAGTGTTGCTTCACACCTCAGTTCGTTTGTGTGCCTTCCATCCCTATGAAGTCTTTGATTTGCAGGTCACTTGTTTTCTTACTGGGCAGAAGTGGGTTAATACATGTTAGCGCAGCCACTTGCTTCTGCTTTTCTGCCTGTGCACCATCGAAGAGAGACTTGAAAGGCCTTTTCTGGACAGATACTACCCAGTATCAGGAGATATACCTCAGGAGAGGAATCAGAAGAATGCAGAGGTTTATGGTGTGCTGTAAGAGCAAATTTAGCGCATGGAGATTTCGGTAGAGGAATATGGAAACAAGAGACTGCAGTGTTAATTCCTGTAGTGCTCTTGATGTGGAGAATTGGGACACCATCCCGCAGGCAATGCCACCAGTGAGTGACTGTATGGGTCGTGTAGCTGTAGAGAACACGGCAGGCCTCCATGTCAGCAGGCAGGTGTCCAACGTACCAGCAGTAACTTCCCTGAGCTGACATATGCTATGACTAGAAACGGAATTACCAGCACGGCCCAGAACTGCAGGGGTAAACCAAAATGGACATTACACAAGATCCACCATGTGGCTGGCATAGAGCTTGCCAGCTCGCCTCTGACAGTGTTGCAGGAGTCAGCTGAGCCTGTTAAATACTGTGTTACAATAGAACTGCTTTTTGCTCTACATGTGCTTCTTGGAAACTTTAAGATGTAAAGGGAAAAAACAAGGCTTTAAGTGGGACAAACCATATGGCGTAATGTTTTGAATAAAGCCTTTGGCTGGGATGCTGCAGACTGCCGGTCCTGGGTCAGAGTACCAGGGAAAGTATCACTTCCTTTTCCCAAGCATCTCTTACTGGCCATCAGCAGAGCCAGAGTACTAGGTGAGAGACTCAGTATTGCCATTCTTACGTTCTGAAGATTTGATCTTTCTCTGAGCTTTTCGTGTTCCGGCAGCAAATTTGTTTGAGTGCAATAGCAACTTTTTTACCTTCTCGTGTTTTTTTTTTGCTTAGCGGAAATGCATGTTACGAAGAGACAAGTCAATTTAGCCCTTTAGCAAAGAACAGGCCTTGTTGCATTCACGTATTTCAAAGCAAGATAGAAAACAGAAAGGACAGCTTTCTAGAAGTTACTGAGGTACAAAGAACCAGTTAACATCCGTGCAGTCCTGTTCTATGGGAGGGAGTACGTTACCTGTGTGTGCAACCACTGCAGTCAGCACATCCAAGAGCGTACTAGGGGGGTGTCTGCTAGGAGCTACCTTGAATATGGGTGATCATGTAGCTGCAGCATTGCCAAGTTTAAGAATGGCTAGTTACAAATATTTTCCTGAGTTCTGAATATCTGTTCTGCACTTTACAATCCTTCCTGCACCTGAACTAGATGGTATTAATCTAACATGAATATCCCTGCTACCTGAAGGTAGCATGATTTTTGGCACAGGAACCTTGAATATGAATTAAGTTTTATCCAGTATTTCATTATTTCATGTCCACATTTTCCGTGAGGACTAAGGTTGATGTTAACATTTTGTTCAAGAACAGTTACAAATATAAAAATTTGATCCTATTTAGTTATGTGTTGATGTAAAGCACACTGGTATGATGAAATATCCAAAGCAGTCACATTCTTTCATGAAGAAAATGCTTGAACTGAAATTCTTAAATATCACTACTGTGCTGACCTTTCTGAAGTTGCCAGTTTTTAGTGTATGTACCTATGCATATACAAAAATGGTTGCTTTTTTAAATTCCAAGAACAAGAAACGTCGAGAGCGCCGAGACCTACTACGACTGCAGTTACTGCGAATTTTTGAACTGCTTGCTGATGCTGGTGTTATAAGTGACAGGTAGGACTATCACTCACCATAAATATTGATCTTTAAGTGAAATAATTTTCAGTGTTTACAACACTGAGTTTATATCAGTTTGTTCTTTGAACAATTGTGTCATCTGTCAGATATGGAGAGATTTTTACGCATTTCTTCAGAAAGCTGTAGTGTCACTACACTGTTACTCTATATTAATATACAACTTTCCTTTATGCTAGTACAAATGGAGCCTTAGAAAGAGATACATTAGCCCTTGGAGCCTTGTTCTTAGAGTATGTTGATCTGACTCGCATGCTTCTGGAGGCTGAAAATGATAAAGAAGTCGAAATCCTTAAGGATATGAGAGCACATTTCAGTGCAATGATTGCCAACTTGATCCAGTGTGTTCCAGGTATGGTGCTAAATTATCTCAAGATACTATGGAATTGCATTTAATGTATGTATTGTAAAAATAATTTTTAATTTCTTTTTTTCTGTGGTTTTTTCACTGCTTGTGAATTGTCATGTAACAGATGTAGACGGGAATGTGGACACAAATGTGTTCAAAAGTCTATTAAGAGTGAAATAAAAGAACAATAGAGCTCATTGAAGCTTGTAATACTCATTTATAAGAAACATCTCTTTAACAGCCTAGCAAAGAAATTTTCTGTGACCTCTAGAGACTCCAAATTTTTTTGACATAAGGCCTTATTTGCTACCCTTTGACTTTATTGCCAGACTCTTCAAAATCTCAGACAGGGCTTGAAAAATACAGGTAGGTGCAGAAAATGTACAGTATTAAATTTAGCAAAAAACTTGCCCGAGGTGTTGAGAATGTGTCACATGTTACCTGACTCCAGTTGTATAGCAAAGATTTCTCCAATAGATTTCATACTTTTTATATATTGCAAGATCAGTTCAGAAACGTAAAGTAATTCCATTAGCGCAAAAAAAAAAAAAAAAGCCTGCTTTAAAGTCCTTGTAATTACTGGAAGATGAAGTCTGGAGGTTACTCAGTGTATGCAAATCTATAATCTCCAGATCATTTATGACAGGACAATAACAGCATTAGTAGCAACAAATAAGAAGGGAAGAGTACAGCAAGGAAATAAATAATGAACAGATGTTTTCATGCAAGTTCCCAGTGTGCAAATCTTGTCAAAGGCGTATAATTGCTTTCAGCTGTAAGAGACATAAAAAGTATGTAATAGTTGAACAAGATAAGTAAAAAATGGCATCCCTGCTATTCTCAGTTAAGACAGTAAAAAAATCCCTGTTGAACTTAGTGGTGCCAAGTTCTTAGCTGCTGTTAACAAACAGAATACTGAATTTCTTTCCTTTATTTCTTTCTGAATGATGCTCATTAACAATACAGAATTTCCAGGAGTATGTGCATAGTCCTTCCTCCCTCATCTATTGTCACATTCTGCAAAGCATGTGTGTTGTGATTTAACCTCAGCCAGAAACTGAGCACCACGCAGCTGCTCGCTAACTCCCCCTGAACGCCGGTGGGATGGGGGAGAGAATCAGAAGAGTAAAAGGGAAAAAACTTGTGGGTTGAGATAAGAGCAACTTAAATAATTGAAATAAAATAAAATATAATAATAATGTAATAATAACAGTAACAACAGAGTATACAAAAACAGTGATGCAAAATGCAGTTGCTCACCACCCACTGCCTAGCCAGTCCCCAGGCAGCAGCCCCCCAGCCAGCTTTCCCCTAGTTTTGTACTCAGCATGATGTTATATCGTGTGAGTTATCGCTTTTGGCCAGTTTGGGTCAGCTGTCCTGACTGTGCCCTGTCCCTGTTTCTTGTGCATCTCCACCGTTCTCAGTCAGTAGAGCATGAGATGCTGAGAAGTCCTTGATTTAGAATAAACACTACTTTGCAACAACTAAAACATCAGTGTGTTATAAATATTATTCTCATGCTAAATCCAGAACACAGCACTATACCAGCTAAGAGGAAGAAAATTAATTCTATCTCAGATGAAACAAGAACAACATAACGAAGGACTACATGTTGTATGGATTTTACACCATCAAACAGCCATCTTGTATGTTTTGAGAGAATGCAGTAACTGCTGCATTTCAGTAACCCAGTATGTAATTCTGTAGAGATGTATTTTCTGCTAACAAGACAGCTTTAAGATACATCACAAAATCATAGAATGGTTAGAAGGGACCTAAAGACCATCTAGTTCCAACCCCCCTGCCATGGGCAGGGACACCCTCCACTAGACCAGGTTGCTCAAAGCCTCGTCCAGCCTGGCCTTGAGCACTTCCAGGGATGGGGCATCAACAGCTTCTCCATCTGCTTCACCACCCTCTTTGTGAAGGACTTTTTCCTGATGTCCAGTCTAAATCTAAACCTGCCCACTTTCAATTTAAACCCGTTACCCCTTGTCCTGTCACTACAGGCCCTTGTAAAAAGTCCCCCCCAGCTTCCTTGTAGCCCCTTCAGGTAGTGGAAGGGGGCATTAGGGCTCCCCCC